CAATAGCCGCTTTCCGCTCAATAACTAGCTGATCTTGTGCTATAAAGATTATGTTTGGCGTGTCCCAGAAAATAAAACCCATCGGAGCGGGGTATTCCGTGCTACCTCTTCCGCTTATTCAACCGTCCGTTTATAAAACTTGTCTCAGTAGATTCTCTCGTTGTGATGGCAGTGGAAATGTGCTCCGTGCTACTTAAAGTAACATTTTCGTACCTAAACCTCTTTTGGATGTGTCGTGAAGAATTTCTGCGTCAAGTTGGGGTAGCTTACACCACTGCCTGCATTTCGGGGATAACATTAAGTTAACGTACGCGGATTCTTTAAGTTAATCTCGAATTCTGTGTCTCTCCTATGCTTGTGGAAAAAACCGTTCTCATAGACAGATTGTAAATCTGAGTTGCATATAGACACTTACGGGAAAAAACTGCGAAGGGAAACCTCTCGATCGTTTATTTGTTTAGTAATTGGGTATATATTATTAGTAATATTTCATTTCGTACTTTATTACCACTATGCCTGCACCCAGATTGATTTTTCCGGTGATTTTGAAGCTAGATATTCTGAGAGGTGCAGTGGCGAATAAGTTAAAAACACGGGTGTATACCTCTGCCTACTATCCGTAAATCATCCTAATACTCGATGTAGAATATGCTCATTATCTCATCAGAGAGACTGTCTTTCGGAGAATGGATGGTTGCAATTATGTATGTATGTAAACATATATATATATATATATATCGTAATGCGGGTGTAAGCCGTTGTGTTTGAGTGTTTATCACGAATAAACCCTCTAGTTCATCCAATTCAGATTAGCAAGTTTCGCTGGCTAGGGTACATATTGCGTGTCCCCAGCTGTCGTTTACCGCACCGCACTTTATTCGTTGTAGCCTCCCGAGCTGGAGGAAACCTCGGGGAGGTCAACAGATGATGTGGAGACGAGGTATGAAGAAATGCACAGAGCCTCCTCCCAGGGAACAGACTTCTTAACTTGAAATATGCCGATGATATCGCCTTGCTGGGTGAAAACACAAAGGCGGTCCAAGACGCTTTAAACCGCTTGGTGATCGAGGTATCCAGATATGGTATGTGCTTTGCACCATCAAAGTGCAAAGTGCTGGTTCAAGACTGGCAGGAGCCTGAGCCTGCACTCACCCTCTGTGGTGATCAGCTAGAAGTAGTTGAGAGCTTTAAGTACCTCTGGAGCTTGATTGCAGCCAGTGTTGATGTTGGAGAGGAGATCACATCACGAATAGCGAAAGCTAGAGTAGCTTTCGCTAACCTACGACA